ATATTCTTAATTTATTCATGGCCACAGTTGCAAATAAAGTTTTAGCAACACATTTACACACATACTGTAACAAATGCTGTGTACAGAAAAGCACCAGTACCCTTTTTTTGGTTGTGGTGAGATGACTAGAGGAGGTTTCTGTAACATACTTGAATAGTTCGAGCCCTGCACAATGATACTGTAATACTCACCAATATTTCTAAATCATTTTCATAATACTGAACTTCTGTGATTTATCTAGGACCTTTCATCTGAATTTTTCAACATGCAAAGTTTGTTTTAAAAAGAAAACCTGTAATTTCTTGGCAGTCCAGTTAAGACAAAAGCAAACTGATGAGAGAGAAACACATTGTACAAGACTTTATATTATAATCATCTACAAATTTCCTTACCATTACAGCAGATAAGTCTTCTGAGCCTAACATCCCCACATTGTGGTATTAGAAAAATTCACCCACTTTAATGTACACAAATATCCATGAACCGCAAAGCATTGTACTATAATTCTGTCAAATAAACAGACTACTGGAATTCAATTTCCAGAAAGCCAAGGCAAAATCTACTGGCCTTCATCTGAAATACCAGTACCATTTCCAAGCCCTGTATTTAATTAATACTATTTACTGTCAAGAGCCAAGCCATGTAAATATTTCACTCTTCCCAATTCAGGGACTAAAGGCAGGCCCAGAGGAAAATCTGCCCAAGTAAATGCATCTCATCTTCTTTGATGATGCAAGTGCTCAGTTGTCCTGTTCTTGACCCCTCTAGAATTCTGAGGCTCCAATACTGGTGATACAATGTCATCAATCTATATATAAAATATACATTGATTTTCCACAGATGATAATGACAGCTATTTCTTCTGCTAATGCTAATGCAGTATAACTTTGTCCATATAAAAAGGTTCCTATCAAGGTAAGAAATGAAAAATCTTAGCAAAGTCCATTACAAAGTCAAAACCAATATTTAAGAAGTGAATAAAATCAAGTTAGCAATCCCATTTCCTAAATATTTTTTATTTATCTCACTGAAACTGCAATGTTCAAAATAATCTTCCAGGATATAACTACATACAAAAGGCAAGCTTCAATCAATTGAATGAGCATTTTCAACAGTCCTGGATATATATTAAGTTTGGTTCCATCAATGCAGTAAAAAGTTCACTGACAGAGCACTCCATTTAAATCCGTTTACAATAGTTAATGAGTTTTACATATATAAGAATAGTTTAATCCAGCTTTACAATGAATTTGAACATTGTGGCCTCAAAACTACGAAACTACTTTAAAAGTACTTTCATTACTAACAAATCTAGTTCTGCTAGTTGCAAGCATAAGATTTCTCTCCACAGTACTCTAGATTTTCATAAAATTTAAAGGAAAGAAATGCAATATACTACATTTGTGTAAATTTCAACTTTTCCACAAAAAAATGTTTTTCATAAACTTCCAGTTCCAATTTTAGGGAAAAAAAGCTTTTAGGGGGCAATTGTATAAATCTCAATAGATGCTCATTTCCTAATACCTCAGTTCTCATCGTACCACCCACACAGAACTTCACTCTCAGATTAGGAGTATCATTTTAACACTGATTACATTAAATTCACCATAATCAAGCATCCATTTTACAAGCATCTTCATAGGCAATTCATGTTAACTAATGTCACTACTGAACAGCAGTGACTGAACACAGAATAATCTTATCACATTTCATGCAAGACACAACTCCCCAGTTTTGAGGTCTAGCAATGAAAACACATTCCCTTTATTTATCACAAACCAATTCAATGTAGATTAAGTATCCTTCACAGAGAAGACCAGGTTCATTAAAGATTACACATACCAATGTTTTATTTCAGCTCTTTCAGAAACACAGCTTCTGTGGGAATTAGGGTGCTCTGAACTGACTCCAGGGTTCTAGGTAAGCACCATTCCAGCCCTGCTTTGCTAGCTCACAGAAGCTAGCCTTATTCAGGTTTGATACTTGGAATCTACTGTAAGTTCCTCATTTGCATCCTTAAATTAATACCCAAGGCTCTTAAAACTTGTTTCGATATAAGGCAGTTTTATTTTCTGTATTGCACTTTATTTTCTGACAGCATTCCCTTTACACAAACATGTATTAGGAGAACACAGTCAAAAATGAGACATTTGTCAGAATTTTCTGTATCTACTACAGCTGTAAACAACAAGCACTATAACTCAGAATGAAAAGACACACAAATATTTTCTATCACACTTGACACTAACTACAACACAAACAACAATGAAATCACTACAAAGTTAGATGGAAACAGACTCTCCAGATCAAGAGTGACAGAAAACTGAGATTTCTCTAATCTATGTTCTTTTTTCTGAGAAATATTCCTTACAAAGCAAACCACTTCATGAAAAAAGGAGAGAGAGGTAAAAAATGCTTTCAGACTGGTAGCTTTTAGACTGGAAATTAAAACAGATTTTGTATCTGTTTGGGTTTTTTGCAAGTCCAAACTTATCATCATTCTAATTGCATCCCCTTTTTTGTGAACACAGAGCAGCTGTTACCCACTACCTCAAGTAACATGAAAAATAGACCAAATAAGCTTTAACTAGTAGGTTCATTTTCCAAAAAAACTTGATCCAGCGGTAGACAAGCTGAATGTGCACAACTTCAGTCAGAGTCATGGTGCAGTCTCACAACATACAGTCAAAACCAACATTTATAATTCCACAAGCAAAACTAGTCAAAAGCCAAGGGCCAGAATTTTTAAATGACACTCCATCTGATATATCCTTCCACCCCTAGTATAATTTCAGATGGGCGTACTGGTTAAAATAAACAGCTACAGCTCTTTGATCTTGCAGAGAAGGTGACCATGTAAGTATGTCAAATAATAGGACTGAAGCCCAGGACACTCAAAACTCAACAGAAAGATTTCCAAGGATTCAATGGAACCAAAATTTTAAACTATTCTTTGGCTTATGGAACCTACTTTTGCTGAACTGTCTATAATAGGAACACAGATATAACCACACACTATAAAGCAAAAGAATATCTGCTTCATCCTTGCCGTCTAAATCCTTTCATGACACCCATTTTTTTACAGTGGTTTATTTGAGTGAAAACTACCTCTCTGCTTCATCCTTGCCTTCTAAATCCTTTCATGACACCCATTTTTTTACAGTGGTTTATTCCTCAATGTCATCACCTTAGACTTCATATACAAATATTCATGTAATATTTGCTCTTATTAAAGGTTTTGAACTTCCTAAACACAGAAACTGTGTTTTGGTCAGCATGTGTGAAGTTACGAGATTATTTTCTATCACTGTATCAACCAAATCTATAGTTTTGGTGCAGTATGTAGCAACACTAAGGAAAAGACAGGTTGTTTTTTTCCCTCCACATAAATTAATTAGGAAAAAAACCCCAAGTAATTATATGGAAATTGCTTTTTATTTTCATATTTCCCTAATGCATTCGGTTTTTTAATCGAAAATTGAAATTGAGACAACTGAAAACAAACATACGATCAACCTGACAAGAAAATTTCATGTTCTCTATAGAGAATCCTGGCAGTGATATTTTTCTCTTTATTACACACACCTAACTCATTCTGAGTGCTATTCACTAGGAAAACAATATTTTAGAGTATTTGCATTTTTTAAAACAATTTGCTTAAATGATTACAAAAGCAGATCATTATTGAGAAGACCTCCACAATTACATGATGATTATGCAGTCCAGGTAAGTAGTGTAAATAAATAGTAACCAATATAGTGTAAGTAATAAGTGTAAATAAGTAATAACATCTCTGTGGCTAAGCATTTTCAAATTAATATAAAAGAAAAACAAATTATTAACCAGAATTATAAACTTCATTGAATAGAATGAACTCCAGAGTGTTTTATCTGAACCGAAAAAGGAAAAGACAGAAAAAAGTACTGAAAAACTGCTTAACCTGTTTTCTCATACACTGATGCTAGAAAATTAGTAAAGTTTAAATAAAAGCATTTTTAGTTTGCAAAAAATGCTGAACATAATTAACAAAAGAGGAAATGAAACTTGATGTGGGCTTACATAATTTTACCCATATTTGGTTGGCATTTCATAAACAGTCATCCCCCAAACAACTAAAAACTCTTTCAGCAGGCTCATTTCCCACCTCTATATTTAGTGTGCAAGCCTCAAAAATACATATTTCTGACCTTAATAAGTCACTCTATGTGTTAAAAGACAACATTTATTCATGAGTACACTGAAAAGGTTCTCACATAAAATCTCAAATGCATATTTGTTGTAAAAGATTTATACCAAATGAATATATTGATATATCAAACATACCTAAAATAAAACCACAGTATTTATATTCTACTTTCTTTCACTGCACTACCAAACTATTATTAGTCTGCATTTAAACAATCCGCAGGGGTCTCTTTTTCTAATTCTCAGTGGTATTATCCCTTCTTGAGAGCAGAGTTAAACAGGCACAGCACTGCCTGATGGAGTCGTAAGACAGTAATTCTTGAGCAACAAGCAGTTTAAGTCATCAGTGTCATTATACCAATTTCATCCCTCAATTTAAGTAATTTATTAGTGCACAGAGTTGGATGGAAAAGCTCGTATTATTTCATATTCAACCTTTGCCATAAGGCAGACCATAATCAGCACATCTGAAAAATGTCAATTCCTTAGTTACAGTATAAAATATCAAACAAACCTAACAAGAAAGGCTGAAGGGATCAACATGTGATATTCTTTCTCAGCAAAAAGTCACATTCCTGCTCCTGGCACCAAAGCAAGGACCCTCTACTCCCAGAACCAGTGTCACCATTATTTTCAAAGTTTCTAAAATGTTAGTCTTTCCACTCAGTGTACAGTATCCCATGTTACTTAAAACCAACGTTTGTTCTGCTGTATCCACACAATCAATTTAAGACATCTCACATCCAACTCCCCCACTGAAGAACACAAAACTGCAACACAATCCAATTAAATGCAATAGGATACAGACAACTCACCAAGACTCAGCGATGCAGACTATGATTTCTAGGGGCTCTGTATGCAGGGGGCCTCACTACTCAGACACATCTCAAGTATGCTAGGAACAAATTTGAGAGAAAAATATTAGTTTTTTTTTTTTTTTTGGAGATGGGTATAGAAGAACAAAAATATGATGTTTAGCACATTGCTGTCTTAAGCAAAACACAAGGAGGGAAACACAAACTTTGTGGAGCGTTATCTGCTTTTCCAGACATAACTACAACCCCCTTCCAGTTGCACAATCACTCCAGTCACACAACTTCCTTTCTACCTGCTGCCTACTGCAAATTCACAGTGATAGCAGCTAAAATGTTTACATTAACTTACACAGTACACAGCCTCTATTTTCACTAAAGAATCTGTGAGAACTCTGAAAGTGCTTGGTTCCTTTTTTGGTTGACTGCTTGATTTGACAGCACATTAGTTTCAAATCTCTAAAAAGGAGAAACTGGTGTTCTTTCAACCATTATTATAAGTTGCATGTACAGAAGCATGTTTTTTCTCTCAGCCTCCACTTACAATACTCCTGACCCAAGTGACAAGCATCAGTGAACAGAAAGCCTTTCACTCATATGGAGTCCAATAAAGCAGTAAAGAGTCCATAGAACAGAGGCCATACATTGCACAGCAAAATAATTCCTTCAAGGGAGGAGGAGTGTGCCACTGCCCATATAAATATTATACCTGAATTTCTGTTTGTAGGTCAAAGAACACTTTATGACAAATATATCCAAGCAAACCACCAAAGAAGAGTTTTCTACTTTCCTATTCTGACAAACAAAAAGGCAGAACATAAAGCAAATGAGAACACAAATAAAACAAAAAGACAAGAGTCATCAGCAAAAAAAAAACCCAAACCACCATACACTAATTATGCTTCAAGAATTTAGAATGAACCCCTTTCTTTGCCATTTCTGCTGTCTTACAGAAACCTTCTTCAAACAAACTCTGCAAAAGTTCTTTCAGTCACAGACAGGATACCACTACAGTAACAGACTATTTAGGGGCACCACTAACAAAGAAGTGTTCTTATATAAAATATACACACAGAAGATAAGCCTACATTATTTCCTCAGGAATGTCCAAAAAGCACACAAGCTCTGTGGATCACAAACTTAGGGCTTTGAGTGGGTCCTTGTTGACAGAAAAAAAATCATCCTGTCTTGGAATAAAATGTTAAGTAAGCTGCTAGATCTTTTGGCAGCTCAGAGAGACATCAAAGAGAAGCCACAGTCTCAGCAGCACATGGGGGCTGCAGCCCCAGCTCACAGTGGGGAGACCTTTCCCCTGAGGGGCAGTAAACAGGACACTGCCTGTGCAAACAGGAGCATTTCCCACTCACCTCCTGTCTTTTACCTGCTGGGCACCAGTGAATGAGTACTCTACTACCACTTTATTTCTTGACAACTAAGGTGGCTGCTCACTTTTATTTTCCTGCTGTTTTTCCCTATTTTTGCATCCCACCTCCTGGTCTCTGTGGCCTCCAATAAAGCCGCTCAAGGAGTCTGCACACAAATCATGTGGCTCCTGACCATCACAGTAGTGTCCACAAGGCCCCACTGGAAAGGACAAGCTTTGCTGATTTTCATTTTTCTATTCATAAAACGTTTAACAATAATATTGTCTGAAAACAAAGACAATGCATTATAGCTTCACAGTAGAAGCACTACCTTCGAAACACAAAAACATGACTAATAAGACCTCTCTTCCCAAAAAGCCCTCTTGAATTATAAAGCAACTAGCAACAGGCTCATTTACCTGAATAGATGTATTATCTAGTATATTTCTGATACATTTCTCTAACCAAACTAAATCATCAGTGAAGAAACGAAGTGATGAACATGAAGTTACGGACAAGGAAATTATGTGTTAGTCCTTTGCCTTGCCTTCTCAAGCCCATTTTGGAGGCTGAAGAAAAAGCAAGCCAACTATCACCTAAGCCTGTACAAATTTACACCCAACCCACAGGAAGCAGGAGGTTCTGGGGATGGTCCTCAGAACTCAAGGGAACTACTCTTGCAAGAAGCCAGGTCTCACCATGGCATAACTCTGTTAACAGTGGTACACAATGGCCCACATGAAGAGCAGGTCATTGCCTCAAACAATACACAAATTATCAACATTACCTATGATATAAAAATGGAATGCACCACAGCCACACCTGCCATTTTCCAACACCATCATCCAATCCTACATCCCACAAAAAGTAAAAGAAAACTGTTTTAAAGGTCAAAAAACCTCAACTAAAAACAATTGATATGAAACAGAATAACACACTGGCTTCTAACTTCGGAACACTTTACATCTTTATTTTCCATTTGTGCACAGCCATTTCTTTCCCTTCTGGTCTCTATTCCAGATACCTAAGGTGCATTTACCTCCATGGTCCATAAAAACTTCACTGTGAACAAAACACACAACATCAATGCTGCAAACTACAGTTAAGCTGAAAAGGAGTGGGAACTTCCACTTTCAGGCATACTTGGAAGAGGTCATCCTCAGCATGCAAGCTTAGTGAGCACGAATTTAGTGAGGCTTTTCTCATCTACACTGTCTTCAGGTTCCATCATTCCTAAACTAAGAAGAAAAGGAGCCACAAATGATCTCACCATCATGCAGTTATCACTAGCTTCACACAGAAGTGTAGCAAAAAATATTTTGAGGCCTCATGAAAAATTCAGTATCTTTGTTTCAAAGTAACGCTTAAAAAAAATCCAGCAAAACAAGCAAAAGTATGTTTGCACTGCAAATGCCAACAAAAATTGGCAAGCAATTAAAACAAAAAAACCTTTAAACTATGCTATTAGAGATACATTTTATAGCCTGTAAAGTATCAACAATTTTTTTTTTTTTGCACCCCAGATAACAACAACCCTTCTGGACTCATTTAAAGAAAATAGTACATTTCTACCTGTAAATTTTAATTTTGGAAAAAATACTAAGATTTAGACTGGAAGAAGAGCTTTTCTCCTTGAGAATATAATTGAAAACTGAAATTTATTTATTTATTTCTATACACTCGGTATTCCTCCACAAAGAATCTAATTTAGAAAACAGATAGAACATGATGAGGACATTTTTCATGTATCTGGAGACCAAGGTATAAAACTGAGAGAGACAAGCAAGTGAAATGAGTTGACAATAATCACATGTATTTCTCAGAATATATAAGTACTTGGTCAGCAAGTCCTGACAGCAATTTTGGAAGAGTAAAGAGAAAGGGCTGAAGAGCTACTTTGTGAACTCAAAGCATGGTGTAAGCAGAATGAAGAAAAATAATCTCCACTGTAGCCTAGATGATACTGGAACTCTCAGATTCACAAGTATTAAAACTTATGACCTTGGGTTTTCACAGGGTTTAGGTTGTTTTGGGGTTTTTGGGTTTTTTAATTAATTTCAAATTGCATCACACAGGGATATGATGAATTTTTAAGTTCATAAAAATAAGTGTAATAAAAGTGTCAGCATACACTCTCAAATTTATTCATAGGCAGACTTTCCTCTATTCTCAAGAAGTTTTATTTTTAAATGCAGTTTAGTATCTCCTACATAATCCATGAGGTACAAATAGGTGACAAACTACATTGTTTTTAATTGGAGTGATTTTCTTCAAAATCCATGGGCCAGGCTCATTAGAGATCAATACTGACAGCAATGAAAAACTAAATCTGTTCACACACAGATGAATTACAGCATAGGCAGAGTAAGAGTAAAATTCTATAATAATTCTGACTTAACAAGCAAAATGTTCTTTCACTTTCCATGCCTATTCTTCAGTCCCATGCTTCTCCACAGAGGCAGCCAATAAAGCAGCCAATTGTGATATGCCCACTATAAATCCTACCCAAGAGCAACAATATGTCTTACACAGCTCACTAAAAAAGCATCAAAATAGCAACTCTCAGTCAACACTACAGCAGATATATGTTCTCACTATGTCCCCTCATAGAAGCTTATGTGATCCATACTACTTAAGATTAATGGACAAATCAACACAGTCGGTAGATATTTTAATTAATTTGTTGCCTATACTCTCTTCCCTTTCATTAATCCAATAAAGGTTTCCACGTAATGGGGACAATTCTAGCAAAATACAAGTTTTCCTTTCCAAAGAGAAAGTAACTTCTTGAAGTTTAAAAACAAAGAGAAAAATGTAAATAGGATTTACTGAGGACATTGCATCTTAGCTGCAAAAAACAAATACACATTCCAAAGAAGCTTCTTAATATCTAAGTAATGGGAGCACACTCACAGAAAGAGTGAAATTTACTATCAGTTGAAACTGCTAAAATGAGAGCAAAGGAAAAATATCTGTCAGTAACTGTATTAATGGGATATTGTTATGGAAGCCATTTAAGGAAATGCAAGACTTGGAATAGCATAATGATGAAGCTGCAGAAGAAAAAAAAATGTGCATATTGTTAATATTCTGCGGTATAGCTTCAGACACTTAAATTAATGAACTAATTTCAAACTTCAAGATGTCAAGCACTCTGATGACGATACATTTTCCATAGGAATTGTTTCCATTATATATCCATAAAACTCTTAAATAAAATTTCCATTAGTCTTTAATTTGAATAACGTGCAATTTCCACAGAAAAAGATTGAAAAATCATAAACAGTTACAAAACACAGTGCAGCAAATCCACCACATTCAAGATCTATTTTTCAAACTATTCATCAACTCAAAATAATTGTATAAAATCGGCAAAAGTATTCCAGATGCTCATGAGGGGAAAGACTCTTCTAGGTAATAGGTAAATTCAGGACTGAATGAAAGAAAATTAATTTCTTCCACTCATTTTTCCATTCTATAAATGCTATTTCTGAATATTCACAACACTGACAATATTGCTTTGTCTTAAAACTGTCTAAAAAATACCCTGGGTTTTTACCTTTTTTTTTTTTTTCTAATTCTGTATCCTAAATTGATGAAACTACACAACCTGTCATTTTTCATGTCAGATATCTACTTGGTATGTTTCGAAAAGGCTGAGCTACTGAATCATTAAAATAGGGAGTGTTTGCATAATGTAAATACTGCTGACAAACTACTAACTGTAGAACTGGTAAGATGCCTTTGTAATATGTAACCACTGATGTAATATTAGAAATTATTCTTACCACTCTAAGTTGCCATTTCAGCAATACATATGACTGTTTAAAATGCTATTCCAACATAGAGCAGGAGTCCTGGAAACTGTATTTTATTCCCTGAAATCATAAAACATTATCAAAATATTATCTATAATAAATACATGAAATATATGTTATCTAAGCTCCATTATCCTGACGAGTAAAAGCCAAAGAATACTTCTGTAAGGTTTAAATTCCCAAGAGAAGAAGAGCTCAGATCCTGTCTGCAAGCACACAATGGAATCACAGCTGACGATGCACATCTTTTTCTGGATGTCTCCATATGCTCAGGAGGGTTTTTCCCCTCCTCTCCCTCCCTGTTTCTCCCTCTCCGCCTCCCTTGCTCCGAGCATTACATTGAAGAATTTGTCATTATCTGCTGCCAGAAGTATAAGAATGTTTTAACAACTAGCAAAAATAAAGCAGTGCAGTGAACTTCACCTCATTTAAAAATAAAAATAGGGGATCCTGCCAGAGTAGCTGTCTGTAACTAAGTTAACTAACAGCAGAAAATGGGTGGATGAATGAATGCTGTTATATGCCTTCTATAAAGTAATTATCAATATTACTCTGTTCTTCGTTTAAAATGCTGTGTCACACAGCAGAGTATATACAGTAACAACACATTTAACCTCTGACCTCTAAAGCCAAACATGGACGTAAATGAATATTGAGCATTTTAATGCCTATCAGAATACTGAAGAAATGTGTGGAATTTGTTAAATATACCTACTCGCATGCAAACTGCATTGTTTAGAGAGGCCAGCCACACCAAATGTACAAAGAACTGAACATGGCAAGAACAGTTTTAGTTCAGTGTTCCCTTTCTCCAATGCACAATTATTAGTGCTCAGCAGACAAAGAGGGTTATGTTTATATTTAAATTTGGTAGCAGTCTTTGGTTAGTCTTTTCTTTCAAATGAACTGACAGCATCCTCAAGGCTTAGACCCCTTAAGCCTCTGCAATTCTGGTGTCAGGTGTTAGAGAAACTCCAGCTGAGCGCAGAAGCCCAGATTTTGCCAATGAGACAGTGACATCAGCAACAAAGGCAAGGAGCAGAAGACAGTGGGCATTGTAGCAGCAGCTGGCTCGCTCACTGACTTTGTTCTTCCTGCTGCAAAATCTGGGCTCCCTGCAGATGGGCTAGCTCTTACTGGTTTTTTGGAGGACAGAGGGAAAAGTTGGGAATGCCAACACTACAGACGGTTTACATGACTCTTTCAACAGAGCCTTTCAGCGTTTTAATGAGCAAGCTACACCCTAAATTATTATAAAAATATAAACATTCTTAAGTAATTAATTTTTACTTCAGAGTCTCAGTTTAATGCAATACACTACACTATATGTGAATAAATTCCTTCTATTTTCTAATGTTTCCACCAGAAACAACCTTTATTTTCTCTCTCAAATATCATGATTCCAGTTAAAAAACTTAAACTGGTTCCAAAAGTACCATTCTTGATGGCAATAAAGTATCCAAATATCTTGAGTTTCTAATTTAGCATTGACACCAACAAGACACACAACGAGGAATTTACACACTCAGTAAAGAAGTGCCTTCAGACATTGCACAGATACTGAAGAACCACATCAGACATGGATTCTCTCCCTAGTAAAGATCACAAGCCTGAGAAAATACAAAGTTGAGAAATCTTCAGGTTTTATGTGAAATAAAAGAGTACAGTGACTAAAAAGATGAGGTGATTGCAGCACGTTTGACATGCATTTATTGCATAATGCCCATCGAGATAAAAACCTATTAAAACTAATGTGATTCTTCAAAATAATGAGTGATGTTAAAAAAAGATGAATCTTTATTCTTAAAGTTGAACTCAATATTCTTGAAGGTTGAGTCCATGACAAAGTATTTTCTTCAAGACTGTAGATAACCAAGATGTCCTATGGACATTAAGCTTCTCACACTTACAGATTAACCTTTTGGGGGCAATATACAACTTTCCTTATCTCATATGACACAACAGAGCCAACTTCTTTGTCCAATCCCCAAAGAGCCGTTACCACAAATGCAACAGTAAGCGATACAAATGCATGAGTGTCCATATGTGCTTACATACACATCTGTACATGGAAATATGTGCAAACCTGGTATATTCTATTTGTGACACCACTACTGACATAAACAAGTCTTCTGGAAGAAAGTAGGAGGCACCAAGTACCCACACCAAGTGCGATAAAAACAACCAGTTTCTATCCACACTAAGCTCTATTTAAACAAACAAGATATCTGCTTTGGGGCACAATAGTTTCTATATGACATTAAAAATTATATACAGCATGGGCATTTCTCAGAGAGCATCCAACATCCCTCCCTTTGGGCGCTGCGAAAGGATTCCCCCATGAGAGCAGCCCACCAGGTGGTCCAACATTGCCAATAGGTTATAAGGAGCCAGGAAATTAACTGACTGGGGTTGTTTTTATAGTTCAGTACATAAAAAACCCAAAGGGATAAAAGCCAAATGACTGCCTTCACCCACAATGGCAGAACAAAACTTAAAAAATGCTTTAAGTACAAAGACTGGCAGTCTTAAATGCTTACTTATTTACAGTGGCAATAGAGCTCTGCTGTAACTACCATAGCCAGGCACTATATGCTTAGCTCAAATTATACTTAAACATTATGGGTTGAGTTCTAAAGCCTATTCACCTGCTTCTTACCACTCTGAGACAAAAAAAAAAAAAAAAAAAAAAAAAGAAAAAAAAAAACCCCAATTGATTATTATCGAACAAGCAGGATGTTCTCCTTTCACAAGGAGACTCTCCCAGCTAAATTACAAGTATATTTATAGTGTCCCACATACACACACTTCAGACCGAAGTATACAGGCTAACTCAAACTAAGTATATATCATGATATACACATATTACGGCTTCCCAGTGACTACCAGCAACCTCCTTGCCTTTTTTTTTTTTTTTTTTTTTTTTTGCCTTTTTTTTTTTATTTCCCTCTCCCCCCACCTTTTTCTGCCAGGCTCTCGGGCAGGTTTCCCAAACTACACGGCCTGAATGCCCCTCTCCGACAAGAGCAGAGTGCGGTCCCCGAGCTGAGGGGAACGTTCAGGCCCAAGCGGCGCCGAAGGAGCGAGGGGCAGCGAGGCAGGCGAGGGACGCGGCTCCGGTTACGCCTCGGCCCGCAGCCGGGGAGCCGCGCGGTGCCCGCGGCGGCGCACACACCGCCCCCCGCGGAGGAGGGGAGGGGAGGGGCCGCGCACCGCCCTCCGCGGAGGCGGCGGGCACCTCCGCACCCCTCCCCCGCGCCTCACGGTGGGGCGCCGCTCGCCGCGGAGCGCCCCGCCTGCAGCCGCCGCCCGCTGCGGGGAAGCGGGAGGGAGAGGAGCGGCAGCCGCCCAGGGACCCCGGCCCCGCGCCCGGCCGGCTGCTCCGCTCTTCCCCCTCCTCCTGCCGCCGCTCCCCGCCCCGCGCACACACGCAGACACACGGCACTGCGGCGGCCGGGCCCCCACCCCTCCCCGGGCCGCGGGGAGGCGGTGGCCGGGCGCCCCGGGCTGCGTTCGCACGCAGCTGCGACGCCCCGCCGCCCGCCCCCGCGGCTCGGCCCGGCCCGGAGCTGCGCGGCGCGCACGGGCAGGCACAACCCCCGCGCAGAAAGTTAGAGAAGTTGCCCGCTTCGCCCCCTCCTTCCCCTCGCGTCCCCTGAGAGCGCGGAGCGGCGGCGAGGCGCCCTGCGCAGGGGGAAGGGGAGAGGGCGTCGGGCGGCGCGGTCCCTGCCCGGCGCGGAAAGGGGCGCCGGCCCCGCGGACGGAGCGCCGAGCGGCCCGCGCCGCTGCGCACCCAGTCGTTGTCAGCCGGGGAAAGGGAGGCGGCGTCGCTCTGCTCCCCAAATTACCCCTTTTGTCATCGGGGAGAGACCCTCCCTCAAGTTTCGCTATCGCTGCGTGGTGGGGGTGAGGGGGAACGTCCTGAACAGTCCCTTCAAAATCGCACCCCGCTGCCCCATCCTCCCCCAGCCCGGCCAGGGTAGTCCCTGACCCCCAGATCAGCCCCTCGCCTTCCCGGTTCCTCGCACTTTCCCCCCCAGCCAGGGGCGCGGAGAGGCGGCACCCGACCTCCGCCTGGCCTGGGAGCAGGAAACCGGCCCCCTCGGCCCGGCAGGGTGGGGTGCCCTATCCCCCCCTCCTTCGCCGAAACAGGGGGACGTCCCGGAGAAGTAACCCCGCGCGCCCACCCCCGACCGCCGGGCGCGGGGGTGCGAGCACGATGCCCCGGCAAGGGGCGGCCCCGCGGTCCCTCCGCTCCCCACGGAGGGGCCGCAGCCCCCGCCCCGCTCCCCCCGCCGCCGGCGCGGGGTCAGTGCCGTCTCCCGCCGCTGCCGCCGGCGCTGACCTTCGCTTTGTAAGATGAAGCTGAAGCTGGGGCTGCGGCCGCCATGTTCCTTTTTAATAACTGCCTGCTTGTTTATTTCAATGGAGACCCTCCCACCGCTCGCCCTCCTCCTCCTCCTCCTCCCCTTCTACCCAGAGGAGGGCTGGACGGGGAGGAGGCAGGGGGAGGCACAAGTCACTCCCCCCTGCCCCCGGGCACGGCGGCAGCGGCCGGGCCGCGGGCGGGGGGAGGCCGGGCCGCGCTGGCGCTCGGCGGAGCGCGGGGCCGCTCGGCGCCCCGCCCGCAGGGACAATGGCAGCCGCCCCGCTCGCAGCCCTGCGCAGCGCTCGCCGGAGCCTCCTCCTCGGCACCCCGAGCGGGGAGAAAGGGGAAGGGAAAAACAAAGTCCTTCGCCCTCGGAGGGAGAGACTTCGGCTGTGGCCCTTTGCTGTCCGCCCTTGGAGGAGCCCCGCTCCCAGGCGGGACCGGAGCAGTCAGTCCTCTTACGGCTTTCAGTGGCCCATATTCACGGAAACAGGGAAGCGAGGCGGGGGGATACAGTCTTATTTCCTTTCTTTGCCTCCGGGAAAAAAAAAATAAAGAGAAAAAAGACACACATGCTGAAAATCGTGTCAACTGTATCTCACTCATGGGAACAAGAGGATTGAGATGCAGGCTTTCCCTAGATTGGAGGAGTGAATACATGAGTTAAAATTTGTTAAGGGCGGGAGGGCGATTGTTAAACATTGCCCTTTAGTTCAAGAAGCAATCCGTGGTGCAGAAATCCTATCTTACAAGAAAAGCTTTACGTTTTCGCACGTTTCGATAATGGCGAGTTGTACTTTACACTGCAACAGTCGTTATTTTTGACATTTTGTAGCCTGGATGTGCAGCCCCAAGTTGTTCTGTAGCTATCTGCAGATTATATATTGTTTCTGGTGGTATAGCTAACTCTGTTTGCAATTAGGCTCATCCTATATTTTTTGGTCATAAACCTTGTTTTTCAGATGGTTACATTTCGCCCTACTGTGCTGCATAAAATTTCCCATACTTGTCAGGCTTCATTTTTTAAGCTGTTTTCTTGCATTGGGCAAAAATAGTTCAATTGTTTCTCCAAACAAGTTAAAGGAAAACTCTTTCCTACTCTCCTCCCCCATGTTAAAGAAAGAAGCCTTTACAATCAACCAGCTGAAAACTTGCAATATTTTCTTCTTCTACTGAGAGAACTCAGAAATAGGAGGGATAGCCATCAGAAATCTATTTGAATTTAGTCCCATTAGAGATGGGGATGGAGGGATTGTCATTCTTATATGCTCAATTGGAGCTTTGATGCAATAGTAACCGAAGATCCAATCCACCTTAATGCCACTGTTTTAGCTGGAGTACTTTTGACATCATCTTCAGAAGACATGGCTCCAGCACCAGGCTCCAGCAGCTGGAGAGGACAACGTTTCTGAATGTCCCTCCCCATCAGTTGTATTTGGCAGAGAAATTACTTAGATTTCAGGAAGCTCTTCCACCCTGCCCATACACAGGCAGGCAAAAAAGAGAACAGAATATTACCTTGAAATAACATAGCAAGTAAGAGTAGCTTGCATTTGAGGGGGATTAAAAAAAAAACCAAAAAAGAACAAAAAAAAAAACAACCAAACAAAAACCCATCCAGAAAAAAAAATTAAAAAAAGGTAAAAAGTCCTGAAGAGACAGAACTTTTCCTCTGACCTCATTTGTCATATCTGTGCAAATCTCTGTAGCAAATAAGCCAACAGTTAGATAGGCAATAATCTCATTTACCTCACAGTTGTGATTCATTCTCTGATGCAAAGTGAAACAGTGGTTTACTGGGGGAAAAGAAAGAAAAAGTATGTCTTTAATTTTGTGACCATAAACAGTCCCATTTAGAATTGCACAGATAATTTTAATTCCAGCATTTCTTATTTAGGAAAGCTTGATTTTTTTTTTTTTTTTTTTTTTTTTGGACGTCTAACTTTCTTTAACATCACCAAAAATCTTTATTAAACTAATACATAAATCCACCAGGAAAAGCAAGGAATATCTTTAACTTGCTGTGGTAGGAGCATAAAAGACAGCTCATATAACATGAAGTTTATAGCCTCAATGTGAACAAAAAGCCCTGGCTCCTATGTGGCTGAATTTCCTAGTCAAACTGTGTGGGAGAGGAGATTTAACTACACACATATGCTCAGATCCACTGAAATTTGTTACAATCTTCTAACTCATAAGCAAATACATTTTGTCATCTAAGGCCAAAACCCAAAGCCCTGGTTACAAGTGTCATTGTGTGCAAGGACCAGTAATTATGTTATTCCTCACTGCTATTCTTTAAAGGGAAGGGACCATCTCATTGTGTGTGTTATTCCTCACTGCTATTCTTTAAAGGGAAGGGACCATCTTCCAGATGGGAAATAGATTTTATAAACACACTTCAGTGCAGATTTTATTCAGCATTACAGCTCTTCTCTGAAACTTCTCCAGTGTCACCATTGCTGCATTGTGCTGACTAGAGCTGGGCTTAGTTTTGCAGCAAAAAATTCATCCATTCTAAGCAGGAGTAATACAAGTTTCCTGTCATTCTCTTGTATTCACTTTTCTCCCCTTCATTCTTCTGCTTGCTATTTTGTTCACAACATCACTTTATGCATTCATTTGATTATTCACTGTGATTTGCAAACCTTTCCTGGTGTGAAAATTGAGAGAAGTTTTTAATTATTTTGAGTTTTCAGTGAGATTTGGTTGAATTTCTTTCATAATTTTTCTCCCTAAATTAACAGGACAAAATGCAAAATCTGAATGCAACCATGTTTTCCCAGTCAGTACAGTCATATGTTGTCAATGTTTGGGGTTTTTTTACCTTTTCTACATACAATTTTTCTTTAAAAATTGGTACACAGAGTAAAACTAGCACTTGCAGGTGTGTTACTAACTGGCTTTCAAATAAGTTATTTTTCCATAAGGTGAAAAGTTATTAACAAATTGTTGGTAGTTTATGAACTTGGTAGGCCATTCAGGTATGGCTGCTGTCTCATAAAGCTCAACCTGCAGCTTATATGCATAAGGAAGAATGGTTTATGTGCACCTGCTGACATCAGGGCTATATATATATAACACAGCTGTTGGTGCACAAAGCCTTTTTCATGAGCAGCTGCATTTACTCTGTAGAATCACTTTGCCCACCTTTATATGAAATTGAATCCCCACTTACTCATTAACCTTCCCAAATGGATTTAAATATGGTCTTTATGAAACCAATAAGATTTTTGTTAACACAGTATATACCTAACTCAAACCCACAAAAACAAAATTAAATAAATTAAAACTGTGTAAAAATACTCCACTATCTTAATCTTCTTGAAGATTCAGGGGACCTGTTGAGGTCTTCTGGTTGAAGCCTCATCTCCAAGTATGGCCAGTTTTGAAGTTATGCCAGGTTTTCCAGGGTCATTACCAGATGATTTTTACAGTACCTTCCACCTCTTTCTACTACCCATTCCACAACTTGAACACATTTGTAAGTTGTTTTTGGTTTTTTCCCCATGATGTCTAATTGGTCTGTTCCAGCTTATGCCTGTTGCTTCCCACAATGAAAAGGTTACTGTGGACTTTCTAGAAAGCTCCATCTTCTCTATATGTGCCCATTAAGAAGCTGAAGAGGACATTAAAATTTACACCAGCCTTTTCTTCTTCAGACTAATGGCCTGACCATCTCAATCTCTTCTTGTACATCATGTGCTCCAGCACCCTCACCATCATGGTGGCCCTCCTCTGGATTTTCTTTTTTATGTCTGTATCTTTCCCACACTGGATAGCTCAAAACTGAACTCAGTTTTCCAGATGTGCTCTCACTTCATGGATGAGAATAGCCACTTTTCTCAACTTGTTGAGAAAATATTCCTTTCCATAATATTCCATAATTCTTTCCTATGGCAGCCCAGGATGCTGACCTTCTTTGTTGCAAAGTCACTGCTGACTTACTTGTTGCTCACCAGGACTTCCAAATTTCTTTTTGAAAATCCTTTCCTATTGCTTTAGCCTCCAAATGGCTATTCTGTGCCAGATGCAGGATGCTGCTCTGTCACTCATTGGACTTTGTGAGGTTCCTGACAGCCCATTTCTCCAGTGTGCTAAGGTTGTCCAGAGCACTGACCGCTATCTCCCACTTAGTTGTGATCTGCTTTTCATCTCTTCCCTGAAGTCAGTGAGCGTGTTACACAGGAACAGTCGCAGTATCCACCTCTGAAGTACATTGGCCACCAGCAGGACCTGCTTCTGCTGAGGCAGCCCTTGGTGAAGCCAGCTTCCCACCTTATCTTCTACTTAGCCTTGTTCATACCTCTCCAATGTGGTTAAAGGAGGTCTGTGGTCGATATTGTCTAAAGCTTTGTTATAGTCAAGATAAACGACATCAGCTGCTCTCCACTCCTCCACATAGTCACTTATCTCAATGTGACAAACCAGTCACATTGGTCAGGCAGAATTTGCCTTTTGTAAACCCTTGAAAAGAGAGAAATGGATACACTAACTTGCTACCTGCCCCCAGGCACCTTACTGCCTTTCACACATCTGGGGAAGGTGTCCAGGAGGATTTACTACTTAATCCTCCCACAGTGTGAGGTCAGGCTGGCTGGCCTGTAGTTCCTTGGATCTCCTTCCTACAAGATGGACTTGACATTTGCTTTCTTCAGTCACCACTACCTTTGCTCACTACACCACCACACCACCCCCCTGGCATGACACACACACACCCTATAGTTCCTACAACTATGGTGACCCTCTGGCCTCCATTCACATCTCCAAACTATTGCTGATTATCCTGCTTCCATTAGCCCTTTACCACAATCTGCCCTTTCAAAATAACACATTGACTTACATGGCTTCCTTTAAAGCATCTGGGATCTGGCTCAGGTTCTTCAAGGACGCTTTGGCTTTATCATGATTTGATACAGTGCTACAACAACCTCATTAAGAGCATGCAGTGAAGAGCACATCCTATGCTTGTAGTGCTTATATAGTTAGAATTTTTTTTTTCCTAGAAAAACTTTAGAGATAATATGTCATTTTTTTGCACCTCAAATAACAAGCTCCTAACTAAAAAAGTGATTACTTAAACATATTGTTGTATGTTTATGCCTTATTAATTCAATAATCTGCTTTACTGACATTTTTTAAAAAAAATAAAATAATCTTGAA